TGTGGACTGCAGGCACTGAGATTTGAACCTTCAACCTTCTGGTTGGAGACGACTGCTGTACCCACCGCACTGTCACCTACTGCACATGCACTCGCAAAGATTGGAGTGAGGATCAGCGGTGATGAATCGACATTTGAAATTTCCAGGTCCAATTGTCGACAGTATGTGAGAAGAAGAGTTGGAAAGAGGTGAAAGAATGAGTGGTGCAGCCTTCAGTGAAACATGCTGGAGGGTCTGTCAAGACTTCAAGACAGTGTCCTCAAAAGAATCCATGCTGTGCTACTGTAAGTGCAAAGGGAGCACACACTAAATACAGACTTTGGAATATAGAAAATTGAAAATTGTGTGGGTTTTTTAATATTGTGTACATACTTCCTGTATTGTCTGGTTAGATCTCAGTAAAGAGAGAAATACATATAAGTTATCATTACAACCTTGGTAAAACAGCAAAACTTTATGGTAGCCTAAGACACAGTACTATATATGAGCCTGAAGATCTCTTTCCTCAGTTACAGAAGTTTGTTTCCATACATGTGGAATATGAAAAATATTATTATGGCATGTACTGTACTGCATGGGTGAGGCATAGATATGAACTGAATTGCAGATCAAAGAAGAGTGCTTCTACATCAGAACAAAAGTTTTGGAATTTACAATCTGTGTCATGAATCAAGCAGGCTGGAGAGGGAACCTCACTGGGAGACAATATGGTTTTCCCCCTCAGTATAGAAAAATATTTATTCCTAGCTTTGCACAGCAGCATCAAAAGACCCACATGAAGCAGGGTTACTGGTGGTGTGTTGCAACTTTGAGCAGGTAGGAGTAGACAGAGTAGAAGCCAGCAGCAGTTTAGCAGCTAGTAGTGGCATAAGGTTAATCAGATTAAATGGTGTAGGCTGAGGTGGATGGAAAATAGCAACAACAGCAGTTAATCGGCCTTCATAGCTTTGTGTTTTGTACTCTGAACAACACAAGTTAAACAGCATTAAACTAAAGAATAGATGTCCTGAAGAAAAAATCAATATGTTGTAGTTAGGAGATAGGAGTTATAAGAATGGGACACACATAGAAAACTGTATGTTTTCTGTGTGTGTCCTAGTGGGTGAATCTATCAACTGTAATCCTGTGTGTCAGGGTGTAAGAGGGTATCCAAGTATGTGCATATCACTTTTCCTCTTTTTCCCTTTTTTGCCCCCCCCCCCCTTCCCTTCAGATATGCAAGTGTTTTGCACCCTGCATCTGTTTTCAGACTCCCTGTGCTACACTGTAGATAAATGAGATAATGTTTCTGTTGGCGATGAACACAAGACCTGAATTCCCAAGGTAACGCTTTAAATGAGAGCAACCACAACCGAATCCTAGACAGTGGAACAAATCTCCTAGATGATCTGTTTTCATGCGTTGTTAGCTTGTTTTCAAAGCACACTCGCATTGCAGAACATGCACTCCATCTCTCTCCCAGTCACAAATGAAGAATTCCTACTAAATGCTACCGCTGTAAAAATTAAATTTCATATACAGTGACATTGTTTTGGCAATCAACTCTTGCGTGTGCATTCAGATTTTTGGATACGCAAATAGCCCAAACACTGATCATGACGTCTGTGTGTGGGCTTTTGTGTAGCTCCCTATGAACCAATACTACACAACAATGTCATTTAGTGTGGCTAATGATCCTGTAATACTTGGAGTCCTATTAAAATTATTTCCACTCAGCTGGAGTTGACTTGCCAGTTAGCAGGCCTTTAGCTGAAGGATGGATGCCACATGATAATTGAAGACGTGCCACATGTGAGCTGTTCATAGCGTGTCAGTGTGTAGCTCATTTGAAACTGATTTAGGTAATGCATTAATTCAGAACTTATCAGATCCCCATCATCTTCTTGAACAAGGGAGTTACAGTGGAGAATTAAAGTGGAGAATGTAAAGGACTGTAGTTGCATGGGTATGTGTGAGATGAGGTCCAGCCCATCCCCCTCTCTGTAACTCATCTTCCCCATCCAACCTCAGAATTTATATTCTCCCTCAAGCAAAAGGAATGACCATCTTGGCCTTTCATTTTCCAGTTCAGGGCTTTCCGTTTTTGCAGATAAATACTCTCCAATCCACCCTGGCAGATGTCATATTGCATCACTTCCATTTTGATACATAGCCTCTGATCCTGTCACTTGCAATAAGGAGCCAGCTCTAGGGATGCCCCTCCCTAGACAATGCTCTGACAAGGGTGATTATTTTAAAGGTGCATCATTGGTGGTGCTGAGTGCTGAAACCCTAGCTGGATGCCTTATTGACATACACTTTCTGTTGTGCCCGCTGCTTGAATGTGGGTATCGGCTAGTGACTGGGTCAAGAAACGATAACACAATACAGTCAGTAGTCATCACAGGTCAACCTGACACTGTGTAATACCCCTGGTGACGATTTATGCTGCTCTCGACCTCCTCACAGCAGCAGCCGTTAGTCCTGTCTCTCACTCAGTCTCTCTGCTATGACTTCACAGGTCAGAGCTGGATTAACAACAATCTGTATAAAGGGAATATTTTAGTGCTGCCGCCACCAGCAGAGACATCTCGCACTCTAGCATTAATCACACAAGACCAGAGTACATCAGTAAACACAGAGTGTTAGGTCAAGGTAAAGATCAGCTCCCACAGCATTTAACAGGACTCAATAGCATACAGCCTATCTATTGAAAAGTCAGCGTTATTCATGGCATGTCTCCCCCAACCTTTGTTGCTCACAGGAGAGACACGCCATTGTTCACTGAAGAGCACACTGAAATATTTCTCTGGCTACACAAAAAACACTGGATCAGCAGCAATTAGTAGAGTAAAAGAGAGATAAAGAGACGAAGGGAGGGAGGGAGTTGAAAAAGGATGAGTGGGAAAATGTAGAATCAGCGAGAGAAAAAGAAAAACAGAAAAGAGAGAGGAAAGAAGGATGAATACAGAGAAATGGCAAGAGACAGTGAGTAAAAGAAAGATAGAGTGTGTGTGTTTCCAGCCAGTGCAATGTGGTGTGTAGGAGGATGGAGCTGCTTGGAGCCCCTAGTGCTTTTAAAGGACCAAAGACTTGTTCATTGTCTTGGATGTGTGTGTTGGGGTGGGTGTATGAAACCTCTTCATTAGTCTTCACATTGCTCTTCCCTTCAGTTTCATTTACCCCCAACAGCTACAGTATACAGTCATGGCCAAAAATATTGGCACCCCTGCATTTCTATCAGACAAAACACCACTTCTCCCAGAAAACTGTTGCAATTTTGTCGGTATTCTCATGTTTCTTACTTTAGTTTGCATTGGAATAACACAAAAAAGCAGAGAAAATACATTTTACACAGAACTCCAAACATGGACTGGACAGAATTAATGACACCCTCAACTTAACATTTGGTAGCACATCCTTTGGTCAAAATAACTGAGATCAATCCCGTCCTGTAACCATCAGTGAGTTTCTTACGCCTCTCTACTGGAATTTTGGACCACTCTTCTTTTGCCAACTGCTCCAGGGCTTTCAGATTTAAAGGGTTCCTTCTCCCAGCTGCTGTTTTGAGATCCCTCCACAGGGGCTCTATGGGATTTAGATCTGGACTCATTGCTGGCTACCTCAGAAGTCTCCAGCACATTGTTTGAAACCATTTCTGGTGCTTTTTGAAGTCTGCTTTGGGTCCTGATGTAAGACCCATGACCTCTGACAGAGACCCAACCTTCTGACACTAGACCCTGTACTGTGCCCCAGAATTAATTGGCAGTCTTCAAATTTCACAATACCATACACACATGCAGTGCCTGAAGCAGCAAAACAACCCCAAAACATCAGTGAACCTCCACCATGTTTGAATGTAGGGACTGTGCTCTTTACTTAGAAGGCCTCATTTTGTTTTCTGAAAACAGTAGAATGATGTGCTTGACCAAAAAGCTCTATTTTAGTATCATCTGTCCATATAACATTTTCCCAGAGGGACTGTGGCTTCCTCAGGTAAGTTTTGGCAAACTCCAGTCTGGCTTTTTTGTGTTTCTGTGTCAGCAGTGGGGTCCCCCTGGGTCTCCTACAGCAGTGTCCGTTGTCACTCAAATAGTAACTGATAGTGCGAGCTGACACTGTTGCACCCTGTGCCTGCAGGTCAGCTTGAATTTGTTTGGAAGTTGATCGAGATTCTTTATCCACCAATTGAATGATCCTTCATTACAATCTGTCATCTGCTTTTCTCTTTTGTCCACGTCCAGGGAGATTAGCTACAGCGCCATGGGCTGTAAACGTCTTGACAACATTGCGCACAGTGGACACAGGAATAGCAAGATCTCTGGAGATGGACTTGTAGCCTTGAGATTGTCCAGGCCATTCCATTTTTGTGGTTCTAAAATCCTCAGGCAATTCTTTGCCCTTTTTTCTCTGCTCCATGCTCAGTGTGGTCCACAAGACACAAAGGTTGAATCAACTTTTCTCCATTTTATGTGGTTGCAAGTGTGATTTCTATATTGCCAGTGCCTGTTGATTGCTACAGGTGAGTTTCATTACAAATTAAAGGAGCATCACATGCTTGAAATACAAGCATGGTGTCAAAGAAGAAAAGGTGTCAAAGAATGTATCAGATTTCACTTTTTCTCAGCTTTTTTGTGTTGTTCCAATGCAAACAAGAAAAATAAACATGAGAATACCAATGAATTTGTGATTGCAACAATTTCCTGGGAGAAGTGGTGCATTATCTGAAATAAATGCAGGGCTGCCAATATTTCTGGCCATGACTGTACAGGATGTGTCTCTATATGGGATGAAGCCCACTTACACCAGACAATCAGTCTTGGAAAAAAGATAATAGAATCTAACTGAGCCCTGCCAGTGTTAAAAAAAACTAGACAGTTACTCCACTGAACCAAGGCTCTGTGACTATTGTTTTCTGCAGAAAGAGACTTATCCATCAAGAATCACTATTGTATTTTCTCGAACTGGTTTCATAATTGAGGACCAAACGCTGAAATTTTTTTTGTCTTTCTTTGTTCCAGAAGACAGGAAGTTGTTTGTTGGGATGCTAAACAAACAACAAACTGAGGAGGATGTTTACCGCCTCTTCGAACCCTACGGAGTCATAGAGGAGTGCACGGTCCTAAGAGGTCCTGATGGAAACAGCAAAGGTAGAAGCCATGACATGGCTGTCAGCATTATTTAGGTCACTGACAGACAAGTGACTGTGTGTGTGTGTCTGTGTCAGCCGGGGTATGGAAAACATATGTGACACATGCATCAGATGTGGGTCAAGTAGCATTTTCACGTAGTTGCAGTATATTTGTAACGCTACACTGTGTAATGTTGTTACAGTGAACCGTAAAATGGTGCTAGTTCGGACTCAGAGAAATGCAAAACTTGGACTCAGGCTTGACAAGGTAAATGTATTTTAATGAATTGAGAAAAATGAGAAGTGGACAGAGCCGGTCTTGTCAGCCGATCTCGGGGTAGCTGGGAACGCTGGGTTGACTGGACTGCTAGTGATTTAACCTGGGGTTGAAGGAGAGGCGCATCCTGATGAATAAGAGGATGAGAGTATGAGAGAAAGTAATAGATAGGCTAAGGTAAGAGCTAGCTCCAGTGGTAACCCTGAGGACCTGAACAGCTGAGCGCACTAGCTCTTGGCAGGAGAGCGCAGCAGGCATGGGAAGCAGTTCAGGGAGGCAGGAGCTGGCACAGGTGAATGCTAGTCTGGTGTGCAGGACCAGGATCAGTCCGACAGCAGAGCAGGCAGCAGGATGGCGTGACGAAAACAAACAGCAGAAGTCCAGAGCCACAGAGCTAACACAGTAAAATCAGGCCTTCTCGCACTGAGAAGTTCAGCCTGAGGAAACAGTTCACAGTCACTGCACCAAATAGTTGAGAGAAAAACAAAAACGGCCGAGGCCAACCCGATACTGGGGAATACAGGTTAAACACAAAGCGACCCTTTATAAACAAACAAAAAGGGCGAGAATCCAGAAAAGATGGTTCAAAAGTAAATAAAAACAGAGGGCATATAGCTCAAACACATAAGGTCAGTCTTAACAACAGAAAAGCAGTTCATTCATATAGAATCTGACATGAGTCCAAAGCCATGTTACCAGCAAGATTACAAGAGATCATCTGGCGACGAAGACATACCAACGCTTCCCTTAAGTACTGATCTAATCATTGAGAGCAGGTGTGCCTCGTCGCTTGGAATGCACTCCCACCTGTGTGAGGGCGAAGCTGCTGGGATTACCTGTGCCAGCTGACGAGGTGCTGGGGGCAGCCAGGGCCACAGATGTAGCAAATGTGCTAAACACCTACAGGCAGTGACAAAAATGTTTAAACTAATTTATCAAGTTCTGTTTGATTATTGTCTGACTTTCATAAATATGGACTACAAGAGATGTTAAGTGGATAATTTGTTTATTTACATGGTTTTATAGGGGTATTTGTGCCATTTTGTGCCAAAACCCTAATCTGGTCATTTTTAACAGGGTAATAATGGAATTTCTTTTCTTTGTTTAATGTCCAGAGGCCAGGCACAAAACCAGGATACTATGCACTTAAGTCACAATCAAAACAGGGCACCCTGTGTTATCAGTAATTGTAAACCCATCAACTACAGTAGTAATTGAAAAAATGTGACTAAATATACCTCATTTTAAAAAAAGAAAAAAGAAAGAAAGAAAACCTATTACAAAGCCATGATTTATTTTCTTTCTGTCCTAATTTGTTGCAGAGGGTTAATCTCATGCATTTTTTCATGTGGATGTACTGCAGTGATATCTTGTAGGCCTTTTTCAGACAGCCTAAAACTTTTGGAGACATCAGTTCCCTATGACATGCTGCAAAGAGCAAAGGGACTTCTGGGTTTCATGTCTCTAAAGCCTATTCTCTGGCCAGCACTTATGGAAATTGTTGTGGAATTATATCTAAAGGTTCTGGAGCCAAAGTGCTCTGGTTGGGAGGAGGAGATGGGAATGATGAATGTCAAAACAATTCAAGTGTCCCCACTGTGAGGATGAGGGAAGCCAAGAGAAGATGTATTCCTCTTTGTGGCTTTGTAATATTTGTGCTTTAAGTCAGATCTGTGGTTTGAAACATTCAAAACATCACCCTGTGATCATTACTATTATATTCATTTTGTTCCCCTATTACTGTAGGTGTCTGTTCTGTAGTTTAAAAACCCAAACCAATAAAATATCTGTATTCCTCGCAAAAACAGTTGCACTTTGCTTTCACAGTGCCTGTTTGTACAACAGTATAATTCGGGTGCATTTGATAACATAATGTTTTATGCTCCCTAGTTATTGCAAAGTTCCAGATTCATATTAAAAACTCCCATTTGGTTCATTTTAAACATGCAGGCAATGCATGACTTGAAAAGTACCAGGGTACCAAAGTTCAGTGGTTAATTATAGTGGCATGTAGTTTGTACTATTGTAGCAAAGTCCTTGTACAGGTCATGCCAACACTAGCTCTTTTCTATTCATATCTCAATAGGGGGCTGTGGTCTGACAGCTGAATGGGCATCTTGATTGCCTGGTGTCCACAGGGGTAAGCCCATTAAGAAGAGAAGAATGGCAGGGCAGCTGGATCAAGCAGGACAGATGATAAAGAGAGTAAAGAATGAAAGATTAAATAAGAATATAAAGAAGCTCAAAATGAAATGAAATTAGGGTATGAAATGGGGTATAATTATAAGAGGTCCTAGTGGCTCAGTGGATAGTACTGCTGCCTCCCTGCAACAGACCAGGTTCAATGTTTTTCTGTGTGTAGAGTTTAGGTGTTGTCTTTGTTATGCTTTCAAGCCTAACCCTTTAAAAAACCCACTCCAGAGACATGCAAGAGCAATGGATTGGGCCAATGCAGTGATTTGCCCACACCTATCCCTGAGAAAGTGTGTATAATATTCAGATTTTAACATTAACTAACATCACTTACTGAATATGTAAGTAATAAAATCGTGATTTTGGAGTGGTTGCATGTTTAATTAGGCACATGACAAATCCACTCTGGTGACTGACTGGGTGATATGGCCAAAAATATTATCACAGTATTTTTTTTCATGTTTTTCAGTATCAATTACTATTCTTATATTTGTTTAATACAATTAATTAGGAAGGAAATGCATTCAAAATGTTTGTTAGACTTCAGGGATACACACAATGTGATATGATGAGTACCACAAGGTTTGTAAACAAGGTTTATTTACAAGAAAGCTCCACAGGGTACCTTTTAATTTGAATTGCAAGGATTTTAAAAAAATTGTTTTAGGATTGAATTCTACATAAATCACATGGTTTATTACGGGTATAAACATTAATGTAATTTATTTTTAATACACAGTCATGGCATAACATTTTATTAGGGTTTGCCAGACCGTATGTACCATTTTCAAATCATCAGTGTGTGACCTCTCTTCACTACAATTTCATCATCCTGACTTTTCTTATGGTTGCTCTTTTTTACATTTCCAACAATGTGTATATGTTTTTACTTGTTCTGGCCCTACATGTCAGCTACATAGCTTTATTGTAACAGCTCAGAAAAACCCAACTGCATGACCACAAGGCAGATGGAAAGTCATAGAATAGTTTATTGCACTTTTCTTTTATTGCAAGCAGGCCAGAGGTCTTGGTTGGCAAACTGGTTCAGTAGGGCAGGCAAGTCTTTTAATCAAACAAATCAGATTGGGGCTTTTACACTGAGGGTGAGATCCAGAAAGCAAACAAGAGCCCATACACAAGGCAGCTAAACTCACTGAAAGGGGCAGACAAACAAATGAAGACAAACTGATGCAAGGTAGGTGTGTGTGGCTGAGATGCAGGGAAGGTAATTGGCGGGAAAAGTGTATGGAAGGTGAAGAGTGCCAGTAGATATTATGAGGGGTGAGTATTATTTGTGGAAAGGCTTAACCCAAACACTGAACAGATGCCTTTATCTAAGATTAGTCATCAGTTTATCATTGTTTTTAATAAGGACAATCACCTTTATTGGCCAAGTATGTTACACACAAGGATTTTGTTTCCGGTACAGAACCGATGGCAGCCATCTGCGGCACCAACTCAGACTGATGGCTCTAACCATCGGGGGGCAACGGGGGGTGGGGGTGGGGGGGGCTGGGGGTTCAGTGTCTTGCCCAAGGACACTTTGACACATGGACCGCAGGCACTGGGATTCAAACCGCCAACCTTCCGGTTGGGAGATGACTTCTCTACCCACTGAACCACAGTTGTGGCTTTTTTCCATAGTAATCCTTGAGATTATTTTATTGTCTAGCCCTATTACTACTTAATCTGTTTTTCACTTTTGGAATGGTGCCGTATTTCAGTCTAGTAATTGAATAATTATGTTAAGTCAGATGGCTTATGAGACAGGGAGGACCCCAATGGCAGGACACAAAACAGTCAGTCCGGACAAGACGTTAATGAGGATTTACAGAGTAAAACAGAAGAGTAGGGAGAGTTGGGTTCAGGGCGTAGGAGTGATGCAAAAGGCTGGGAGCTCAGGAGAGGGAAGAGGCAGGGGATAGACAAGGCACAGGCTAACTGGCGAGTGGGAGGCACAGGGCAGGCAGGGATCCACTCAGTGTCGAGGGAAGGTAGGTGAGTGGATCAAGGACAAACCAGACGTCGATGAGGAACAACAGGTGAGTGGGAGATGCAGGACTGAGGAGGCTCACTCAGTGTCGAGGTAAAGCTGGTTAGCAGATCAGTCATGGGACAAAAACAACCCAAACAGGGTGAAGGGAGACAAAAACACATAAGAGTCGTCCAGGACAACAGGTACAAAACTGAGAAGCAGAATTCTGGTAATAGCACAAAATAGCAACCACTAGAACGCAGCATAGGTAGCAAATGAACTGGCAATAAGGAGACGCCAGAGCTTTGGTTAAATGCAGTGGGGCCAATTGCTTGCACCTGTGCCGGTGAGCACGCCCTGTCGCTTGCCGTAATTGTCAGTTTGGGGAAGTGAGCAAATACCAGCTAAGGACCTACCAAATTAATGTGCAGCAATTTAATAGCAGTGTGCTCTTTGTGAACCCACAAACTCTGTCTTCAACTTGTTTTCACTGTATCTACTCCTCACAGTATTCGTCAAGGACATTAGGGCCAAGAGTGTTGGGTCTGTGGATCCTGGCCTTTGCACTTAATATTCACAAATATTGATCAGAACATCCTGTTGTAAGAACAATACACTGCACTGAGTTCTCAGATGTAGTGGTTTTCTGTGTGAAACATCATGAGTTTTCCAGTTTGGCTAGTATTTAATATACACAGACAGGCATGTGGTGCTAAATAGCATGCTTTTCTGCTTCATCAGTGAAATCTTTAGCCTGTAGCTTCTTCCTGCTTGTCTGCCTGACTAATGCCCAGAGTAGGGCAGCCTGCTGTGCAATGAGAGCTTCTAACTGCACAGTGACTTCTGTGGTGTCAAATATAATTCAACATCCCTTATTAATATACCAAAGGCTTTTAAACTCACTTGATTGAATGCATTTACTGTGTGTGTTTATAGATATACAGTTTATACACACATACAGTATACTGTGTGTATTTGTGTGTGTGTGCTGTCATATACAGTATAATGTGTGCATCTGTTCTCTCTTCCAGGTTGCGCCTTTGTCAAGTTCTCCACACATACTGAGGCCCAGTCTGCAATCAGTGCCCTCCACGGCAGCCAGACCATGCCAGTAAGTAAAGCTCACTCCCTCACAAAACACAGACACATACTCACTTCGCGCAACATCCACGGCATGCACACTACATCCACACCTCCCACCGCTCACAATAGTTATGTGCAGTTCAGCTCCCTTGATTGAAATCTATCTGCTCTCAGTGTTAATCTTACCCCCAACTTTAAGCTTTTATAGAAAGTGTAACCATCCTCACAAATATAACAGATACCACTGTCTATTTAATTATGATGGTACTGTTTTAAAAATCCAAATCTAATTTCCCAATAAAATAGTTTAGAATGCTAAGTGAATTTTCAGTGAGTCATCATAATCAGTGAATATAACTCTGGCGTGAGATTACATTTGCTTGTTATGTAAGCACACCGTGTCCTCTGAATTCTTTCCGTATTGGATTTAACATGAGTGCAGAAGCTATACTGCTCATTTGTATGTGGCTCATGTTTAGTTATGGTCCCTGTATACCTGATGGTGTCAACATAAAAGCCACTTACTCTGCACTCCATACCTGAATAGAGATATTCTCCGTGACATCTGGTGAGCAGACAGAGAGTCACATCCCATAATATACAGTGGCCTGAAGTATACTCTGCTTTTATCCTCATTTTTTGGCACTATCAACTCACAGAAGCAGGGAACCTGAACTCTTGCCCACCCTGTCTCACAGGTGTTGTGTTTCACTGCATGATTTCATTATTAATGGTTGCCAATGTGTGAGGAAAGCGGAGAGAAGCACTACAGAAGCCAGCTGTGTCATTTTGGCACAACCTCTGAATCAATCTAAGTGCAAATGACTGCAGGTCATGAGGAAATACTCAGGATGTCCATTCTCCATAGATACCCTGCTTCTCTGTTGCTCCATCCCCTACCTCTGCTATCTCTCTGCCCTCGCTCGTCTCTCTTTGGCAGCCTCTCGGGATATTAGGCAATAGACTTGTTTACTCCACCTTTCACCGCATTG